GTACCCCTAATTTTGGGAAACTTTACATATCCCTATATGAGCTATACTCTTAACTCCCAAAGCGGGTTCTTTAGGGGGTTATATAGACTATAATAGGGGTTAGGGTGATACTGGAGTTCAGACTATAGCTCCCTAAACCCTAAACCCTAAACCCTAAACCCTAACCCATATTAACACAAGCTGCAGGTGCAGGAGCTGGATCCTGATGTCATTGCAGGCCAGGTAGTGGCCCCGCAGCATCCCGCAGCATTGCACGCGATCCCATTGACATAACGCTATAGTATCCCCCTGTGAGATTGAGCTACAGTATTTCGGGATATAGGGCTTCCTATAATGGAGAATCACATGGAAAAGACAATGGAAAATGAAGCGGAGACAGGGGTACCATAGGGATTTAAGGAACTCAATTGAAGATATTATGATGGGGGAACCATATCAATTTACATAGAATAGAATATATATATATATACACACACACCCAGTATGGTATTGAAGTTTGCATGAGAGGCCACAACATGTACTCTTTCGATCTTGATGTCTTGAGTGCGCGCATGCACCAGCGCTGTCCCCAGGTGCCAGCAGTTGACTGTGCGAACCTGCTGTCTTGCTGGAAAGCCCATCTGAATGTGAGCATTTGCGGATCAAAGGAGGGTCAGACGTAGAGGGGTTGGAGATTGTTGCCTGCAATGCTGCGTGTTCTCGCATTTTGCGCTTGCTTGGCTGCTGCAATGGCCGACCAGTGTCCAGATGATGCTGAGGTGGACTTGTGCGAGACACTCGGAGAAGAGACGGGCGCCGGATCTCGCAGCTCAGCCTGGATGGGACTGTTGCTGCCCTTGGTGTCGGCACGCCCGAAGCTTGGTGCCAGCATCGTCGTGGTCTTGGCGTTTGGGATGGTTGGCGCAGACGCAGCCACCTGCGGTGATCTGAAGACTTTCTACAAGAGCGAGCAGTGCTGTGGCGCGCCCACCCAGGCACTGTCCGTCACACCGCCTGGCTGCCCTTATAACTTCGCCAAGCCGGCCTGCAGCACCGCGGAGCCTCAGACGCCTCGTGACCTGACTCCAGGCGCTTCCGGCATGATGACACCCAAGGCAGCGACCCTGAATGATGCCCAGGCCAACTTCCTCCCGCTGGTGAACGTGCACTTCCACCTGGGCGCTGAGCACAAGTCAGAGTCCTACATGAACTCTAGCGATGCCGACGCTTATGATGCCGCATCCTCCGGGCGCCGCCTTGCTGAAAATCCGCGTCCTGGCTTCATGTGCGCCACCGAGAACCTGACTGACGCTCAGATGGCGCCATACACCTTTCAGTACTGCAAGGGCGACGTGGCAGTGGGCAAATCCTACGAAATCCACTACGTGCACTCCTCCGCGGGCACGGACGCAGATCCGACGGATGCCGTCAACGCAGACCTGCTGGCAGACGGCCTGGGAGGCAGCTGTATTGTATCAGCCTTGTCTTAGCCAACACATGTTGCAGGTCTAGTACAGGATTGCCTTGGAGTGTTGCATGCTTCCTTTGTGTTTGGCTTGCCAGGGGCAGCAAACGGTCGCGGCCTCCTGAACCCCATGGTTGTGGTTCAGGGCCAGATCTTCCAGATCGTCCAGGGAGGCCCCACAGTCACCGATATGCTGCACGGATGGACTGTGGTGGGGCATGAGAACTCTGTGATGTATCCTGGGTCGCTGAGCTTGTATTGCAACATATGGGTTTGGGTTTCCCAACATTGGGGGTACTCTTTTTTGGTTTCTTTTAAATAGAGAAGTATTTTGGTGTCTGTATTTGGGTCGGACCTTTAATGGAAACCACCATACATCGCATGCTTTGCCTTGAGAAGGGTGGGTACTAGCAATACCCCAGGTCAACCACGGGCCAGTCGCATGACAACAGCGTCTGCTCGCCATATTCGATTACCTGGCACGTGGACAAGGACTGCCACCAGGTCCGCCCCTTATCTTGCTGGCGCAAGGTAAGTGGTTCAGTAGCTCACTGAACTCTGAGTGCTGCAACTGGTCAGCTGAACCCTAAGCCCGAAACCGCTTCTGAGGTCTCACCGGAGTCGTTTGACAACCTCTGCAAGCAGATGAAGGACACGTACAACATGGAGGCACGACCGACTAAAGCAGTCTTCGCCATGATGGATAGGGGGCTTATATGGAATATTATATGGGGCATTATACGGGGGAGTATTATATGGGGCATTATACGGGGGAGTATTCTATGGGGGATGCTGTCTTTCACACCATTGCAGGCCGACTTGTACCCCCACGGCTCGCGCAAGCTGGTTTCCCCGGAGTATGTTGTGAAGTCCGAGTATGTCGTCGCTCTGGCCTAGGCTCAGTCGACGCTACTGGTAGCTTGTGAAGTGTTTTTCCAAGAAGCTGGTGTTCCCCAACGCCGGCAGTATGAATTCTTTAATGTCTCCATCACGCCCCCATAAGGGGGCTGTGAAGTTTTCAAAGAGTCTATTCTAGCTTGAATCTTGAATGCTCACGATGGCAGTTCTAAACCTTAGGATTTAGCTGTCGTTGTGAGCGAGCTTGGGGCTATGCGCGGAGCGCCGCCGACTTGTTGAGACATCCTTTGTGGTAACATCGCTGGACTTGCAATGGCAAGTCCTTTAGTTGCGAGTTGGATGCGAGGATGAAGCACGAAATGCACTGCGCTGCCAAGCATCCGATCAGCCGACAGCAACTGACACAGAGCCGTCGCATTCAAAGTGGCAATGCCCTGCATTTCCCTAAGGCTGAAGGTGCAGAACTGGCACAAACTTGGGCGAGTACGTCGCACCAAGGACGCCTGCATCAGTTGTCTTCAGCGTGGTGGGTGAAGCTGTGACAAGGACAGGGTACCGCGAACGGAAGGTCGTCAAGGTCAAGGCTTTTGGGCGCTTTCCTGAGCTTCTGTGCTTGGGCTCATGTAAGTCTATGAGCTATAATCTCAACTTACAGGGGGGTATTTAGGGGGTCATAGTAGTGGACCACTAAGCCAGGTATTCAGGGGGATGCTACTGTAGGAGTTTAGAGTATAGTTCATGTAAGCACATGCAGGCCTGATGTTCCACTGAGCAAGCTCAGGCAGGAACAGCTTTGACTGCAGGAAGATTGGCCTTGCTCTCATATTCAGCACGTCAAGCAGCAATTTCATGTGGCTGCAGGATGACAGCATGCTTTCTCAGGGTATTAAGACGTCATGTATTCTGCGCCCGCTGCACCATGCCAAATTTCTATTCACAACAGGAACTTGTGAAGAGACTGAGCAGGTAGGTGATTGGGATGGTTTCGTGATGAGGTTGGTAGTATTGGTCGCCTCGGGGGCGTGCGGGCGGTGGCTGTGGCTGCTCCTCCTGCTGCTGTTGCTGCTGTTCTGCTCTTCTCGGCATTGCCGTTGCGGTTTTTCAGGACTGGTGGTGGGAGTGATAGGGTCAGTAGCTCTCTGATTGCCTAATCGTTCCGGGGCATGGTGGTGCCTGCTGGTGCCGCTGCATCTGCCGGGTGCTGGTGCTGGTGCTGGCGCTGGCGTGAGCTGCTGGTGTGTGTGCGGCTGCTGCTGCAGCTGTGGCGCCGGATGCTTGGTATCTGCAGCGGGAAGGCGGTGCAAAGCCTTGATCGATAAGATCCCTTGTGAACTTCAGGCGGCCCACTGCAATTCGTCCTGAACGGCTTAACGCAGGGTCCTCCGGGGATGTGGGGCAGTGTCCAGGGGGGAATTTCAGCGTGGAACCTTCTTGCGAGCCCTCGCTCGGGATGCTCGAGAGAAACGCTTCCAACAGATGATGAGGGACATTGCATCAGAGTGTGACCACGGGCTTCGAGCAACGCCCCAAGGTGTGCGACACTGGGCTGCAATCCAAAGATTTGCTGCCCAAGCTGGGATGCTACGGGCTTGGTCATTTGCTCCTGTGCTTCCTTCTTAGCGGTCGAATGACTGACTGTAGCATAGCCTTTGCTGGTAGTTGTACTTGTAGCTGGGAAGGCTGCCGGGCTTGAGTTTGGTTAGGTCAGACACCTATGCAGCCAGCTTATGATGTTCTTCAAGTTGCTTCGTGCTTTAAGACTTGGCCCTTAGCCTCCTGTCAAGAACTGGCTACGCATGCTACGCCTGCAGCTGGGGCTTTGTGTGCTGGAGGCTATGACCTCGTCAATCTTGCAAAGGAACAGCTTGGAGTTGTGGACCTGCGGACGGCGTGAGGCTTAGGACGTAGATGCAAAGAAATAGATGTAGTATTGATGCTGGCTCTCAGGTCGAACCGGAAGCAATTCCGGAATACTACGATTCAGCCAGGCCATACTGCTGTGTATGCGCTTGTTGTGAGGATGCTCATGCTCAGGGTGTTACACAGGCATCGCATACAACTCCGCATCCCATGGTATCGCATGCTCCAACCAAAATCCTTAGACGTGCACTCTACAAGCAACAAGCTGAACACACAGTGCGACCTGCATCATCAAGGACGTCATCATGAACCCCTAACGATTCCGACAAGTCCCTTGTAATCCCTACATCCCTAGTGCCCCTAAGGGCCCCATTTTTTGGCAACTTGGCTTGCTGGTTCTTAGTAGGGTATATGGGAACATATTCCATAGGCATTATATGGGGATTCTATTCCCTTATTCCATTCTACGAACCAGTAACTTGGCCTTCCGACAGGAATCTTGTGACGTTGCTGCAGCTGAAGATTCGAGATGCACACTGCATAGCTCGGCTTGCACACTCTTTGCAAATCCTGCGTGGCCCACAGAGCTTAGTTGGGGGTAGTAGGGAATAAAGGAGCATATGCATGTAGGTACATATATACATATATATGTGTAGACATGAATTTCTTATACGCTAACTGTATAGGGCTTCTGTTCCCTTATTCCCTCCTAACCCCCAGTAAGAGAAGCTGCAAGTTTGGTCATGTTTGGTCTTGTGTCGTTATAAGTTATAGCCTTGGTGCGGGTGACTGTGGCCGTGTGGCAGGCATTTGGTTCAGCTATGGCACAGCAGGTAGAGCCAGTACTCGTCCAGCAAGGATGACAGTTGCCGGCCTTTTCAATGGCGATGGCTCACCGCACGTCCCCGCCTCATGCACATTTGAGCCACCCTCCAGTGCAGAGTAGTTTGCAGGCGCTTGTCTGTGACATTGCTTTCTGATTGTGCAGCTGTTTGCAGACACTCCTCCCTACCGCCAGAGTACCCAGAATCTTGGTTGCAAGGAGGAACATCTGTGCAGGAACGGTTGGTGATAATCTGTATGCTTGAAAGCCTCCCACAGCCGCTGCGCGGTGTTCTTCCAGGACATCATCCAATTTTCCAGTGCGGTGTATTATTGCAGTGAAGATGAAGGAAAAGTTGAAGTGGAGGCAGGCAGCCGATGGCAGACGGCATGCAGCTTGCATTCCCCAACGAAGGATATAAAGATCAGCCTTGACTGTCCCTTTAAAGTTTTCAAGGTGCTTCTGTAAGTTTTGGCGTCCAATCCTTGTTCGCCAGGTAACACGACTGGGTGAGGATGACAACCAGTGCCATGCATCTTGATCGCATCTGGGCGGTGCCTTGAAAGTTGTCGATCCTGGACGTTGCCTTGCCTCGGCTGCGCGGGAAGGTGGATTATGAGACCTTTGACATCTCGGCAGTATCTGGCGTGAAGTATGTGGGTCGCAAGGGCACTATCGCTTTTGAGCCAGGCATGCTGTCCATCCCATCCGCTTCTTGCGATGTATGAATGCTAGTGGGACTGCAGTAGCTGAAAAAGCTGTGGCAACAACAACGGGTACAGCCAAAGAATCCTTTTCATCATCATCGCAAGCACTTTCATCACCCTCCTCCTCCTCCTCCGCCTCCTCCTTCTGACGACATGGATGATGATTGTGGTTCTGAGAAGTCATCAGGCGATGACATGATTGTCTTGAACGTATCAGGAAACATCAGAATTTCCAGGCCTCAATTCATTCGATTGCCTCAGCTTTGAACCCAAGTGGGGTCCCTGAAGCGTAAGCCTCATTATCAGAAGGATAAACACAGAACCCTAAACCCACAACCCTACATCAGTTCTAGTTGTTTGGTTCATATGGGATAGGTAGACATCGTACCCAACTACAGACCCCCAAACGGTACCCCTAATTCTGG